GAAAGAAAGAAAGAAAGAAAGAAAGAAAGAAAGAAAGAAAGAAAGAAAGAAAGAAAGAAAGAAAGAAAGAAAGAAAGAAAAAGAAAGAAGGAAGGAAAAGTAGTCTCTGCTTGTTATGACATGAAACTATGACATAACAAATTTTCCTGAATTTTTAATTAAGTTGGTACCCTTACCTAAGTGGCTATAATTTAAGATCAGTGATCATTTTATCTTTTAGGAAGCTTTAAAATGAAGAAGGAAGTTTAATTAAATTGTAATCATATGTATCAGTTTGTTCTTTGTAAGACAGTAAACTCTCAAAATCACTTACACAGGGTATAGTATAAATGGAAAAAGAAACAAATTTGCTTGCCTGGTTGATCAGAATTGTGTTCATTGCAGTATTCTGTAGGGTGCAACCAATGAATTTCTTTCTACCATATTTTCTTCAGGAGCCATAGGCCTTTTCTTGAAATTATCTAAATTTCAGTGAGTTCTTCTCATTATGAATATTATATTACTGAAACTTTGAGAGGAAAAACTTCATGCTGTAATAGAATTGTGTGGATGTTTGTGTTTTAATATACTTTCCAGATACATACACATGAGTGTGCACTGACACATACGTGCAGTGCACACCCAAGCTGTTTTCCTTCTGAAAGTATCTGAAAAGTAACCTGGCTTTTTGGGGTCATGTGGAGGTCATAGGAAAGACTACAGATGGGAAGCTATTTCTCTTGATATTGTTTGGACCTAATTACCACAGTATCCTAGTACCACCCATGCGTTTCCCCCTAAGAAGGAGATTCATTTAAATGCCCTTGTCTATGGACTATTGAATGAAATAGTAGGGTGTGCTTCGTAAAATATCATCACAGATGTTAAGTTCATGGTCTTTAATTAGGACACTGAAATCTGTATATCAAGATTTGTAAATTATCTAAATTGTAGAGTAATGTTTTGGAATAGAGCTTAAGGGATTGACATTAAAGACGTATTTTTTTTTAAGAAATGCAATAATTTCCGTAAATCCTCAGTCAGTTTTAATCATTCTCATTAGACCTCTGCTAACTACAGTGCTAAAGTTTTTTTGCTAAAGTCCTTGAATTCCAAAGTAATGCTTCATAGTTCTTTCCCCGTTATTATAACCACCTGGAATGCAGTACTCCAGTATTGGATCAAAAGCAAGATAGTGAATTGTATTTTTGGTTCTTACTGTACATGCTCATATAAACAAACACGTAGACAAGAAAAACTTTTTTTCTTAAAAAATTTTTTCTAATCTCTTCCAGTTGCTGAATTTCAAAGTTTAAATTGAAAACATTTCTATTCCAATTGTTATTATTTGTCTCATTTACTGATGATTCTTTTTTTGTTTTTGTCTTGTAACCAAATCAGAATCTTTGGAAGAGCTGCCAGAAACAAATGGGAAAACAGTCCGGCGTTTCTTCTTTAATTTAACTTCCATCCCCAATGAGGAGTCTATCACCTCAGCTGAACTTAAGGTTTTTCGGGAGCAGGTGCAGGAAGCTTTTAAAAATAACAGCAATCACCATCATCGTATTAATATTTATGAAATTATAAAGCCAGCAACATCCATCTCTGAATACCCCATTACAAGACTGTTGGACACAAGATTGGTAAATCATAATGCCAGCAAATGGGAAAACTTTGATGTCACACCCGCTGTGATGAGGTGGATTGCACAGGGACAGGCAAATCATGGGTTTGTGGTAGAAGTGGTTCACTTGGATGATGACAGAGCAGTCTCCAAGAGACATGTAAGGATTAGTAGGTCTTTGCATCAGGACGATCACAGCTGGTCACAGATAAGACCATTACTAGTAACTTTTGGCCATGATGGCAAAGGACATCCTCTCCACAAAAGAGAAAAGCGTCAAGCAAAACACAAACAGCGGAAACGCCTCAAGTCCAGTTGCAAGCGACATCCTTTATATGTAGACTTCAGTGATGTGGGGTGGAATGACTGGATTGTTGCCCCACCAGGGTATCATGCCTTTTACTGCCATGGGGAATGCCCCTTTCCATTGGCTGATCACCTGAACTCCACAAATCATGCCATTGTTCAGACTTTGGTCAATTCAGTTAACTCCAAAATCCCCAAGGCATGCTGTGTACCAACAGAACTCAGTGCTATCTCCATGCTCTACCTTGATGAAAATGAAAAAGTCGTGTTAAAGAATTATCAAGATATGGTTGTGGAGGGATGTGGGTGTCGTTAGCACAGCAGAATTTTAAAAAATATATATTAGACAAAAGCAAAAAAAAAAAAACACAAGTTGACACTTTAATATTTCCCAATGAAGACTTTATTTATGTAATGAAATGAAAAAAAAACACAGCTATTTTGAAAATATATTTATGTCTACAAAAAGTTGGGAAAACAAATATTTTAATCAGAGAATTATTCCTTAAAGATTTTAAATGTATTTTAGTTGTACATTTTATATGGGTTCAACCCCAGCACATGAAGTATAATGGTCAGATTCTTATTTTGTATTTATTTACTATTATAACCACTTTTTAGAAAAATAGCTAATTTGTATTTATATATAATCAAAAGAAATATAGGGTTTGTACATAATTTTCCAAAATTGTAGCTGTTTCAGTTGTGTGTATTTAAGTTGAAAAGTATACATGGAAGGTTACTATGGCAAAGTGCATAGCACATTTGCTTTTTGCAGTGCTACTGTTAAGGTCACAAGTTCAAGTCCAGAAAAAAAAAAAGTGGATAATCCACTCTGCTGACTTTCAAGATTATTATATTGTACAATTCTCAGGAATGCTGCAGGGTGGGCTGTCCAATCCATGAGAACTGGCATCTTCATTAGGCGGAATCTTTGGATAAGAACCAGACATTGCTGATTTAATAGAAATACTGAAGTTCCCAACTAATTTGGAGAGCGATTACAGCAGGGCCAATCGAAACCTGTAGTAAAATGTTTGAACTTATAGGAAAGTGAATGATGGCTTTTTATTCTTCTTTCCTTAACTAGTAACCCCTTTAAATAGCTGTCCTGGCCAAAGCATTAAATAAAATATAAGAGTTCTTCATTATTAATATTGTGGTCACGTATATTTAAAACCGATTTCAGTTGGCCCTTGTCTTAACAGATGGGAATGAGTTTTTTTTAAACCTCAAATGGGAGCTTATTAAACTAAAATGATCCCTGTCTTCAAATTTTGCCCCAAGTAAAACAAAATATTGTCATCCATGGTTTCTGTCTACCCCAGTGCTGTCTGTCAAATTCACTTGCTTTTCTTTCTAAGGTTCTGTGTTTGAACGCATTTTCCAAATGTTAAACCTATTTCAGATAATAAATATTGGAACTCTGACATTTCATTCTACAAAGTCCAATCTGTGAAAGAAAATGGTGCATTTATACAACATTCACAATGCTACCTTGTGTTTGCATTTTTCTGAAATCCTTCATCTAAAAGGGAGTAAAAAAGTCCAAGGGATGACTTCAGATTTGCTAGTAAGATGCTAACCAAACATATACTTACTTGCACCAAAGAATTTTTTTTTTATATTTAGCATGTTCATTAACTGATATTTTTTTCTGTTAAAAAAAAAGTTTAAGACCAAATGACCTATCAAAACAGGCTAAAATCTGGACAATATGGAATGAGGGTTCCAAAATAATATCTCAGGCAGTATTGATAGAACTAACAGGAGTTTAGAAAAGGAAAAATTCTGAATACTGCTTCTTCAATAATAGCTGCCAGTTGGACTAGAGCATCTCCATGTGCACATAAGTAACATCAGAATAAGGGAAGACTTGGTAGATTTGATTGCTCCAACCAAGGAACCTAGGAATTACCCTGTAATTTACATGAAAATTTTCAAGCGCTCTAACATATTAAATCTACTGAACTGTGTTCATATTTGATCCCGATAGAGCTGAAAAATCCATCCCTAGATTTTCTTCTTTACTCTAGCCCTGGAATTGATTAAAAAAAATAGTTGTTCAGTGGTACAATTGACACTTATATTTAGATCCAAGGTTCTAGATTCAAGGTCTACAGTGTTATTTAATAGTTCTTAGAATATGTCTAATCCTCTCTTTAAGGTCATAAAGGGAGGGCAATTTTAAATTCAATACTAGTCATTTTCAACCTTACAATTTCCACCTTCCGAGGTTGTCTTGTTCCTGTCAGCAAACTTGGATAAAGCCATTGATTATTACTGATCAATTCATTACTTTACTATTATCTTTATTACTGGTCAATTTACTCTTTAGAAAAGACTTTGATGAATTGGATATGATTGCAATCAGAGTGGTAAAAAGCAATGCCATTTGAAGGGCACTTGAAGGAAGTGTGTATGTTTAGTCTGGCAAAGAGAAGGCTTAGGACATGATAGCTGTCTTTCAATATGACAAGTTATCACATGGAAGAAGGATTACACTTATTCTGCTTGCCCTTAGAGAGCAGAACTAAAAGCCATAAGTAAAAATTTCAAAGAGGTAAATGTGGCCTTGAAATATTTCCTGACAATTAGAGTTATCCATAAGTAATATAGACTACCTTAGGAAGCAGTGTTTCTCATCACTGGAAACTGTTTAGCAAAGTTTAGATGGCCATTTGTTGAGCATGTTACAGGGGAGATTCTTGTCTAGGTAGAGTTCATCTTATCTGGCCCCTACGGTCTTTTCCAGCTCTGAGAGCTTTTGCTTCTATAAGCTCTGTTATTTATTTTTTTCACTGTGACATTAGCAAAGAAGATTTACTACCCCCACAATATTGTGCCTTGTGAATAGCATTTACAGATTTCTTAAAAAAAATATCTTTCTTCATAGTTGTTTCACCTGTTCACAAATTACCTGGTAGAGGGCATGAGGCCTCAGGTTAGATGCTTAATGTCTAGAAACTTGTTCTAAAATAACTTCATCTTTGTCCTCTTTCTTGTGAATTCAACACACATGTGCAGTAGGATTGGTTAGAATATAATGCAAAATCATGGTAAGAAAAATGTCTATGTCTACATATTCAGATGTTCTGTATTCTTTATATAAGCATAGATATGTGTGTATGTATATATACGTGCATGCATATTGAGTAGATCCTATATAGAGAATTTATGGGAAACTACGGACAAAAATTGTGAAGTATGAGACTGTTTGGTGGGACTGAGATCTTTAATAACATTGAGTTCCTTCACTGATAAAATCAAGGGCCATTGGTAGAAATATTTGTCAACTTCTGGTACCAACTTTTTTTTAGAGGTGCCTGACCAAATAAGTCCTACCGACTTGATGATACAAAAAAATTGACAGGCAGAATCTTTTTTTCTGCTTGATTTCAGATCTTTTGTACAATTTATAGGCCCTTCCTTTCCTGCCCCTGCCCCCACCTCCTGGAATCCTACCTGAGAAAAAAGGAGTATTTTGTCTTATAGTCTTTTTCTTCTTTTGCTTCACATACTGAATCCTCAGGCATAGACAGTGTTAAGTACATTCCAAGAGCTGTAACTAACTTCATGGCCATCAGTGTGGCTTTACACATCAATCATAAATCTGTAGGATATTTTGAATTCTTCAAGCATTAACCTGCCAGCAATTGCAATATGTGCCTTTTGCTAATATGTGAAGCCTAAATAGTAGTAGTTTCCCAAATTTTCTGCCATGGATCTCCTTTCATTACTGATTGAATTTTGTGGATTCCTTGTCTGGTTTAGTACTTTTCTCCTTCCCCTTGAGTCCTCTAGTCATTGTATCTTGACTATTATGGCATCTCCAGATCTCTATTCCTTTCCTCCCCCGCCTCCCTTGAGAAGAACCTACCAGTCCCATCTTCTGTTTCAGCATAATATCTCCTCCAGCTTCTACTTTTGGTTGTGTCTCAATAGAAAAAAATGAAGTCAAGCAATTATCTGTATGGGCAGATAATATAAAGACCCCATTTGGGTATTACAGATCTAAACACCATCCTTTTGTTTTCTTTGATAAGAGAGGGAAATAATAGCATGGCTTCTTGAGCACTTAACTGTATGCAAACTGGCAGTATATTAATTGCAATTCCCTTTAGAGACATCTGACCTAATTTGCCATACTAATTTGTATATGTCAAAATAGTAGATCATCCCCAAATCACTTAATATTGCTTTATAATGAATTGTGATAATTTTTGCATTAGATTTACCTTATTGTTTTAGAGAATGTCAATGATTTTAAATATTAGTCTGAGCATAACCACATGCAGCACATATGCACATATATACACAGACATATACATACATGCATATGTATACATATCTATATATGTATAAATAAATAAGTATATATATTTTAAAAGAGATGAATAATCTGAAAATAGAAAGTTATGTACATATATATACACATATTCATTTTCAAAGAAAATAAATAATCTGAAAATAGAAATATGATCACAAATAATTTAATTTCACCAGATAATTGTCTCATCTCCTTCCTTTATCATAACCTTACTTCAAGGAGTCGGTTTTGTTGGTGGAGATAATTCCCTCTATTGGTGCACAGCACAAACCTAAGTGGTTTTTGGAGAGTTCCTATAGTGGAAAGACTCATCCCTAACCTCATGAAAAGGTTTTCTGTACTTAAACAGGCAGGTCCTCATATGATAAAAACACAGCCCATCTCCAGGCCCAAGGCATGAAAACTTTCTAGTTTGGTAGGATCTGCCAGAGATTGTATCCCACTGGCATAACCCACATTACTTTCTGTCAGGAAGAGGCCCTGGATTAGGTCTTACTGAAGATACATCCTTACTGCCCTTTAAACTAGAATTTCTTTCCCTCTGGCAGCACTGTTGACCCACTTTGTGCCTTTTCCTCTTTTCCCTTCCCCCCCCCCCCCAATTCCTATCCTTAAAGTTCATCTCAAGGTATCTTGGA